GGAGAAATGTTTGTTTTCTGGGGAAACTGAACTAAATATTTCCGAAAATAAATATTTTTTCTTCAGTTTATTTGGTCCTGATTACTTTACGATCTTACATAAAAACAGACTCACACACACTCCAAACTGGTAGTTTGTGTTGTTTCTGACTGTTCAGTGTCAACTCAGTTCCTCATATTAAATGAAAGAGTTCCTACTCAGCAAACTGGCACGAGCATTATCTCTGATAATTCCCATTAACAAACTAAAGTCTCACTCATCATATAAAAACCCACATAAAGATGGAATAATCTCACCTTGTACTCTTTTCCCATGTAAAGCTGGTTCAGTGTGTTTGTTGTGGCTCCTTGGCTGGAGTTAATCGTGTATTTACTCATTTCCCAGCCTTCTTTTGATGAATCCAAGTACATGTACTCCACCCCACTGCCGATGTCATCGACTCTGTATTTAGGCAGTTTGTAGACGATAAACCTTAGAAGGAAAGAGACAGAAAACCACGTGTCTTTTCTTGGGAAAATTGAAGGAATTAATCATCAGTATGAATATGGAGGCATTAATATTTAAAAATATCATATTAACTCACCAATCGACTGCCTCGCCATCTTCATTTCTACATGAAATGTCAGCACCACAAACTGTGCAACACAAAAGCACAAAAATCTGTGAGGATGAACTAAAGTGTGAGATCATCCTGAGTGACTCCTGCAGCTGAAGTCGACACAGCAGCGACTGACGAAAGGGAAATCTGAAATCTGCTGCTTTCTGATTCTGAAACCAGCACATCTGCTTTTAGACGCAAAAATGGGAAGTCATGAGATGTTGTCACATGACGGGAAAATACTGACATGACTGTCAGCAATTAAATGTTTCAGAATGTTTATAGATTTTTATTTTTTGCCAACCTTGACAGATAAGCTACTTTACTCGTCCTCGTATTATTTATATATGTACTGTATGTTAATGTTTTTTGTGTTGTTGTTTTTTAATTATGCAAATTGCCCTCATTACAGCATCAAGTACTGTTCACACCTGATTACTGTACTGGAAACCACATGTTGACTGTAAAAGGGGAAACGTCTCTTTGGTAAAACAACTCACAGTTAAAATCTGACAAAGTCACATCTCTGAGCTCCTTTTTGTAATGTGCAGAAGCCAAACTGGATTTCATAAGCTCATCCAGTTTATTGTTGAGGAAACTCTTTAAATATAGTCTTGGTAGCCGGGGATCGGTCCGCCAGGTCCTCCGCTCCTGGACGCCGCCCGGCACACAATGTACCTGACCCCTACGATGCCTCCTGCGGGTGGTGGGCCTGCAGGAAGATGGACCCATGTCCCTTTTTAGGGACTAAGTCCTGGCCACCAG